TCCTGAACACTGATACCCAAAGCGCTACACATTAAAAACATCCGCCAGTTGGACTTCATTAAACTTAACAACTTATGCTCTGTGAAAGACTCGGTTAAGTGGATGAAAAGAAAAGCCACAGATTAGCCACCGCATATCCAACCAAGGACTTACGTCCCAAAGGAAACTCTCAAACTCAACAGTAAGAAAACAAACGATCCAACGAGAAAACAGGCAGAAGGTCTGAAAAGACGCTTCACCAAATCACATACACAGACGGCAAATGAGCACATGAAAGATGTTCCACATGGCCAGTCCTCAGGACAAGTCAGGGCAAAGCAATGATGAGAGACCGCCAAACAGCCACCAGAACGGCTCAAACTAAAACTCTGACACCAGCAAGCGCTGCGAGGGTGACGAGCCTCTTGTCCCCTGCTGGTGGAATGGGGGGTGGCATGGCCACGCTGAGGAACAATGTGGCAGTACCCTGTAGACTTCAACATGGACACATACATGCCACACGACACAACTGCATGCACTCCTGGGTATTTATCCCAGAGAAGTGAAAACTTACACTCACACAAAAACCTGCACCTGAATGTTCACAGCAGCTCCATTTGAGGTAGGCCCAAAGTGCAGACCACCTAGGCGGACGTCCTTCAGCCGGCGAGTGGACACACCAGCAGTGGTGCACCTGCACAATGGGAGACCCCTTGGCAACACAAAGGGTGACTGATATGTATAAGTGATACACACAAGAATGTGGGTGGATCGCAAAGGCATTATGTTGAGTGGGCAAAGCCATGCCGGATGATTCCATTATGCAACTTTCTCAAATGACATAATTACAGCGAAGGGGAACAGATATGTTGTTGCCAGGGCTTAGGAGAAAGTGTGAGTGAAGAGGCAGTTTCTTTCAGGTGACGGAACAGTCTTGTATCCTAACGGTGGCTGTGTTAATCCAGACACATGACAAAATTCTACAGAACTCCCCCCACCTCCCAAGGAGGAGTGAACTCCAAAAGGTCTGTGGCTGAGTCAGCAGAGCTGGACCGATGTGGCATCTCCGGGTTTGATCACTGTACTGTGGTTATAAGATGTTACGAATGGGGAGTGAGGTGAAGGGCATGTAGGAACTCACTACTATTTTTGTAACTTATACGTGAGTGAAATTATTTCAAAATACAAAATTTTTTAATTGGGTAGACTTTGTAAAAACAACTCTATGATCCTGTGGGGAAGCAATTCTTCTGTGCAGGTACCAGTGCCTGCTCTCTAGGTTAGAGTCAAGAATAACACATTCTCAAAGAGCTCCATCAAAAATATTCAGGCACTTGTGAAAAACGCACATTGCTGGGCCCTGCCCAGACCACTAAATCAGAAACTCTACAGGAGTGGATCAGGAATCTGCATGGTTCTCAAGTTCTTGAGCTATGTTTATGATAAAGCAGGTTTGGGGAGCACTGGCTTACACAGAGTCTGTACTTACAGAGGTAAACCTTAATTATCTAGACAATTAGCTTGTCTAGATCCTTGACATGCCAGGTAAATCGTGAGTTTGTGCATCAGTGCTGACACATGGGCTGTGAACTTTCCTCATTTCCATTCATGCCAACCTGTTCAGGTGCTGGGGTGAAATGAAGGAAAGACACATGACACCCACTCTGTGGACCGCACAGGGGCACACAAAGTGACAGGCTGCAGGGGAGGGCGCAGCCTTGTCTACACACCACTGTGTCCATGTGGTGCCCAGAGCGGGCTGGGGTACAGACTGGGGAGGGGGGCACCAGGGGCTAAGGAGGGTTCCAAGTGCTATGGACTGAATTGTGTCCCCCAAAGGCCATGTTGCAGCCCTAGGCCCCATTGGGACTCTACCTGGAGATGGGGCCTTTAAGGAGGTAACTGAAGTTAAATGAGGTCATAAGGGTGGGGCCTTGATCCAACAGGACCAGTGTCCTTTCAAGAGGAAGAGACACCAGGGATGCGCATGCACAGAGGAAAGGTCACGTGAGGACACAGGAAGACTTCCAGCCTCCACACTGTGAGGAATAAAAGTCTGTTGCATTTATTATGGCAGCCTGAGCAGGCCAAGACACCAAGGAAGCATGGACTCCCCAGAGGGAAGTGTGCAAGGGCAGCCAGGAGGAGGTGTGAAGGACGAGGACCAGGTGGGGCCAGGTGGAGAAGGTCCCCTTTACACCATTTGCTGTCTTCCTTCTTGATGTTAACTAATGCAGGCCCAGCATGCCACTCCAGGCACACTGGCCTTGGTAAGGGCTCAGCCCACGCCTTCGAGCTGCCAGGACTCCGACCCCCTCCCTTGAACTGTCAGAACCCCCAACTCCCTCCTTTGAGCTGCCAGGACCCCCAATCCCCTCCTTCAAGCTGTCAGGACCCCCAACTCCAACCTTCGAGCTGTCAGGCCCCCAACACCCTCCTTTGAGCTGCCAGGAACCCCCAGGGGCAGCGTCAGAGATAGGGAGGGAGTTGGCCTTGCCCTGCCTTCGGTCCTCCCCCATTCAGGAGTGCAGGTCCCTTGGGAATAACATATCACTGAAGGTGGAAAGTGGGCACTGCCTAAAACAGGTATGCTCTCAGGGTGGCACCTGCTCCAGGCTATTTGTATAGACAGTCCCACCTTTCAGTCTATCTGGAATCAGTAGAGTGTGAACTCACAGTACTTGATTTGACTTTGTACATGGCGGGTACAAACATCTCAGGTAGACACACCAAGTGTCACACCCGATTGTGCTGCTCTCCACCTCACACACCTGACTCAGTTTAGACTGACCTGGTGGCTGATCCGCCTTGTTAAAATAGTGGTGTGATTTCTGCCACAGTAACAGTTGAGAAATGGCTTAAATAAGAGATCGTCTTTCAGTTTATTTTGAGAAACTTCAGACTTTAACTTCCCCTAACTCGCTCAAGAAAAACACTACTTCAGAGAACCCTACCTTAATTATTTCTATGATGCTTCATAGTTAAGTCCTCCTGTTAGCCCTCGGCTCAGAACTCCTATTTCTGGCTGAAAATGTGCCTACTGCATTTGAACGACATGCTCAGTGAGCTTCCTTGTGACTCACATTCTACCAGAAATCAGGTCAGAGTCTGACGCAGCAGTTCCTCCTGCTGGGGTGACCTCCACGCAGCAACACGCTAAACTCGGGACTGAGGTGAGTGTCCCCAAAGACCCCTTGCGGGGCAGAGCTGAGCCCAGGCCCGTCCAAGGAGCCTCTGCATGCCCTGAATCTGGGCTGACCAGAGGCAGAAGCCTTCATGCTGAATACGGAATTTTAATTTCCCAGTTAGGAATATGAAAGCTCTCACGAGCTCTCCATTGACTCAGCTGTGATTTTGTTCAGAAAAACATGAAAAGAAACCATCCATGCATGTCCTGAGAAAACATCTGTAAAAAGGCGGCTCGTCCCAGAACCGTGAGCCCTGAGGGTCAGGCCCTGCTGCGTGGAGGGAAAAGCCAGAAACCTGGCAGGAGGGTCACAGACTAGTGCTCATTCTCCACGCGTGTATGGACGGTCTACTCCATGCGTGTAAGGATGGTCTACTCCACGTGTGTAAGGACGGTGAATTCTACTGCTTACATCCAAATGCCAACAGAAAGCTGAAAAGCAACATGCAGGTCGGCAACCAGAGCCGTCAGCGCCTTCTCAACGCTATCACGGAAGTCTGACAGTTCAAAGTGCCTGCTGTGTCTTCACAGCCTGCAGGGGAGAAGGCTCCGGGCTGCTGCGTGAACTCAAAGCTACACACTCCACACATCGCTGCAGCGGGAGGGAGCTTTTCCTCCCCAGCTGTGCAGGAATCAGACGCTCACGGAGGTCACTGTGTCCGTGAACCGGTGCCACCCACGGGCTGGGCTGGCTGCTGCCCAGGGCAGAGAGGAAGGAGCTGTGCTGCCTGCAGCCCGGCCCACTGGCCACAGAGCCACCTCTGTTCCACGGTAATCGTCCACATCGGTGGGCACCTCCAAGTGACTTCCATGAGCTGCCGATGCCACCAGCGGACCCTGCTGGCTCTGAGGCTCCACGTGACGTGGGTGAGCGTGGAGCCATGCCAGACCCACTCACGCAGGCCATGTTCTTGGGAGCAGCTGGAAAACAAATGAGCTTCCCTCTTATCTACAAAAGGCCCTAATGGAATATTCATCTTCTCAAATGTGAATAGTAAATCCAAACGCAAAAGTGCTGTGTGTGAACCAGCATGTTATGGAACAGAACTTAAACCCAGGAAGCGGGTTTGATAACGGAAGCAAAATCCAGCAACTCCAGCATCTGGCAAGCTGACGGGGAAAGGGTAAGTAATTCGGACTATCCAAAGAAGCACGTGAAATGGCACTATGAAGAGGGGAGTGTCTGTCCCAGGCACTGTTAAACTCTCCGGGGATGCCTCTGCATCGCTCTGAGTTCAGTGAACAGAACATTTGATGCCATAATCACGAGCAACTCTAATTTCAGAAGCTAATTATCATTATAAACCATTCCAGCTACCAAGACTTTAGTTTTCACTATTCAGAGTTCAGAAAAAAGCATTTCATTGTCTGTCAGGATCACAGGAAATCCACATGGGGACACCTCAGTATCAGAACCAGACTTGGCACCTCACTGGGGCGTCCCTTCCAGGCTGGGCATGGGGTGGTTGCTCCCACTCCTCCCCTTGACTGGGCTAAAAATCGGGCCTTTTCTTGACACCTCCCTCCCCAGGCCCAGCCCCAGCCCCCATCTCCTGCCCTCCCACTCAGCACACCTCGGCCTGTGCGCTGGGCTGCATCTGCCCTGTGCCCCAGTCTCCAGCCAGGCCCTCTGCACCTGCCCAATGGCTCCTGCTCTTTCCCAGGCCAGGATCCTCTGAAACGCTGACCCCCTTCTCAGCGAGTGCCCACTAGGACCATGCACCCAGGAGGAAGGCACACAGGTGCTGAAGGACAGAAGAATGGAGCCCCTTCCTCAGTGCAAGATTTGCTCCGTCAGGCAGCCTTGGCCACCTCCCCAAGGGGCAGGAAGTACCTGGGTGAGAAGCTGGTCGGACGTGAGCTGGTTGATCCAACGTGTGTATCGCTCGGTGGAGTGGGGGGGCTCTCTCCTCACCTGGCAGCCTATAATCTGTGAAACAGCAACAGCAAACAGGGCTCAACAAGAGAAAGTCACTGCGAGCCACGTGTGCACACCTGTGTACACATCTCACCTGGCAGAGGCCGGCATGTCCAGGCAGGGAATTAGCTCAAACCCCACACCTGGGTCGGGCTGGGGACACTTCCTGGAGTAAAGGGGAGTAGGGCATGTACTCAGTGTGGGACGGGCACAGGCCAGGACACTGCATGGCCTGAGTAGGGCAGGTCTTAGCAGCCATGGCTAAGCTGCTCCGGCTGGTTGAGAACTTGTCACAGACACGCTTCCCTCCTCAATGCATTCAGATTAAAATGACCAGATGCATGTTCAAACACCCAGTTACTTCCAGAAATGCTCTTCTTAAACCATAACTCAAGCGGATGTGAGAAGATGGCCACTGCAGCCTCTGGGGCAGCAAATCTGCAAGTCCCATCTCTTGATAACATTCTCGATTCAGCCTCCCAAAAGCAGTAACCTCTAACTAAACAAGAGTTGCAGCGCCAAGAGCCCACTCCCCAGGACCGCCTCCCTCCATCCAGGCTGCACGGCAGCCCCCACGATGCCACCAGATGGGCACTCTCTGTCCCAGAAAGAATCCTGGTTAGCTGCCGTGTAACTTACCTATATTCTTACACCTCCTTCGGCCCTTTGTCCGGAAGCCTGGCCCTGCCTCCTCCTGGCTATCAACACGATTCACTCTATATGCACCCAGCTTCTATACCACTGACCCCCGCAGTTCCATCCTGTCCCTTTAATGGTGCCTTGAAATCTAGGGGAGCCACCCACATGTTTTGCTGAAGTATCTGCTTGCAGCAGGTTTAAGCATCTCTAAGACTGCTCAGAGGTGAGGGGTCCAGGCCTTCAGACAGTCAGAGGCTGGTCCCTGCTATGGGTACCAGGGGTCCTGTCCTCAGAGGCAAAGAACTGGGCGGTTCCTGTGGGAGGAGCCCCTCCCCCTCCTTCTGGCAGGGGAGGCCATGGGGGTGTCCTGCCCCTTGGTGAGGCCCCATGAGGTGCTCACAGGCCGTCTGACCCCAGGCCAGCGCCTCCTCTACCTCACTGACCAATGAGGAAAACAGTAAGGAAAATCTGAGCAGTCAACAAGACCGACATCACTGAATAAATCTCCTTATGAAGAAATTATCAGGAGTTACACCTCTGTTTCTGGATTTCTCAAATCTTGGTCTGACACATGCGGCTCTTACCCGCGGAGATTACCTTACATTAGTGCAGTTACACTAATGGAGAGTTTGAGGAGGTTTTTGCCTGCTTGCATTTTTGCTGCTGTTGGGTTTTTTAATTAACCTTTTTTTTTGAGAAAATGGTAGACTCACATGTAGTAGTAAGAAATAACACAGAGAGCCCATGCATCCTTCACACGGTCACTCTGATGACCACACCCCGCAAAACCAACACACGGCACCAACTGGCGAGTCAGGGACACTGGCATCCTTGTGGCCACAAGGACCCCTCGTGGCGCCTTCATGGCCACACCCCCCGTCTTGGCACAACCGCGTGTCTGTTATTCCAATGCTATAATGCTGTCTTCTCAAGAAGGCTGTGTGAACGGATCGCACAGGACATAGCCTTTTGTGATTGGCTTTTTTTCCATAATTCTCTCGAGATTTGTCCAGGCTGCTGTGTGCAACAAGATTGTGTTCCTTTTTAGGCTGAAAAATATTCCATAGTTCAGACGGACCACATACAGGACATCTGGGTTGATTCCAGTTTGGGGCTGGAAATATGATTTATTAGTAAGTACTATTAATTTCTAGCACTATTGCTATTAAGTACCATTAATCTGCTATAAACATTCACATGCAGGTTTCTGTGTGAGTGTAAGTCTTCATCCTCTGGGGTAAATGCCCAGGAGAGTGACAGCTAGGTTGTATGGCTGCTGCATGTTTGTAACATTTTTAGGAAACTGCTGAGCTGTTTTCCAGGGGACCGTCCCATTTCACATTCCCATCAGCAGTGCACATGGCCCAGGTTGCCCGCATCCTTGTCAGCAGGTAGTGGCGTCATGTTTTATTTTAGCCTGACAGTGTGGTGACATCTCATTGTGGTTTTCATTGCATTTCCTGATGGTTCACAATGCTGATCCTCTTTCCATGGGTGTGTCTGCCATCTGTCTGTCTGTCCTCTTCACGTCTTTTGTCCATTTTCTAACTGGGATAAGACACACTTGGCCACAGGCGTATGTTTTTGCATACTGCTGAATTCGTCTTGTGAAACTTTCCTCTCTCTCCTGAAAACACACTAATATGGTTGTAAATGGGAGCAGCTCTGGAATCATCACCCTGCCCGGTGTAAGGTCTCACCACATCTCATCTGACCAAGACGTATTTTTTTAACTGTCCACTGCATTTGACTGCCGAACAGAAAAGATTTTGAGGGAAAAAAGGGAAAATGTTGATCAAAAGCTGTGAGGTAGAAATCCTGTTCCCAAACACAAGGTTAAGAGGCTTAACTTCCACACACAAACACTGGTCCAAGGCCCACGACCGCTTGTCAGGAACAGCTGCCCAGGGGGCGGCAGACGGGCCACGTGCATGCCAGCCCAGTCCAAGAGCTTCGCCTCCAGCCAGACGGGGAGGTTGGCAGATGTGGCTCTTTCTGGAACATGAGCTGAGCTACGCCCCTTCCCCTGCGAGCACCCCAGCGCCTCCCCAGCCTCCTCCCACTCTCAGGCTTCCAATGAAAGCTGCAACCACGCTGGGCGGGGCCTCCCATCAGAAGGAGGGTCAGGTGGGAGCCTTGTACACAGATGGTGAACATGAAACTGGAGCTTCTGAGGCAGGTGGTTCTTCATGACTTTAACCACCACAAGTATTGTCCACAAATGACGGAGAAAAGAGAGGATACTTTTGTTTGCTTTAACACTACTTTAAAAGAATACTGGCCTGACCACAGACTGGACACAGGCAAAGTACGAGGGAGCTTTTCTGCTCACAGAGGCACCAGAATGCGGCCTCAAGCCCTCCCATGCTGCCCACCCCGTCTACACAGTAGCCGAAGGCTCCACACGGGGAGATCCCGCTGCTCCCCCCATGGCCCCACGTCCTCCTGGTGACGGCACATGAGGGACACACACTGAATGTCTCACACCACGTGACACCTCGGATGCTCCCGGGCCAGGCCTAGCACCGTGCTTGTACACAGGTGGTGCTCAATAAACACGGCTGAATGAACCAAAGGGCGTGAGCTGGCATGGGGATCGACTGACTTCTTCCAAACAGCTAGGAGAAGAAGCCGCTAGTTTAAGGCTCCTGAGAGGTGTTTGCCGACACCCTTGAAAGCATCTGCTGCCAACAAGTAGACAGGACAGGCTCCTGGAGTGGGATCCCTACGAGCAATCCTGAAACTGCTTCTGAATTCACATGGGGGCTTCTCAGACCTGGCAATTTGGCTGGGAAAATGTCAGAAAGTAGAAGAGAAGGTATGCTGAGAATAGAAAGGAGGTAGGCACCACAGCAACTATCCCCTGTCCTCCCTATGCCCTGGTAGTCCCATCGTGAGGGGGGTCTACGAAGAGACACCATATAACTTCTGAGGCGAGGGCATGGAAGGTAAATCAGCCTGCAACTGGTTCTCTGGGGACCCTGTCCTTGGAACCAGATGCCGCGGTGTGGGGAAGCCCAAGCGGCCACATGGAGCAGCTCTGGCTACCAGACAGGATCACTTGTAGCCGTGCGAGTGCACGAGCCTCCAGATGACCCCAGCCTACCACCCAGTGTCCAGCTTAGGCCCACCATGAGCAGACCCCCACCACCCTGGGCCCTTTCTGAGTTCCTGACCTACAGTCTGTGTGCGTGATAAAACGGCTGGCTTCCACACCACTAGGTTTAAATGATTCGTTACACAGCAATGGTGATGGGAACAGGAAGGACATACTTTATCACGGTTGTGTGGTCAGGTGGTGGCAAACCCCAGAAGCCCAGTTTCTCCCTCAGACCCACCAGGACCAGGAGGATACACAGGATGGTGCTGCTGTGGGCCTGTGTCCTCAGTGGACTTATCATCAGTCCTCCTTCCCTCCAAAGGTCCCAATGGGGATGGTGAGCAGTGTGGCTCCCCACTTAGAGTGGCACCTAGCGTTCTGATTCCCGCTGTTCAAGAACGCACTGGAGGGGACCTGCGGGGACAAGTGCCAGCCCCACCCCCTGCCTGCAGAGGGGCCCAGATGAGGAGACTAGGTGCAGATCCGGAACCTACTCAGGGCTGCAGACTCTCTTGGGAATGTGGAACGGGGACTCTGGGCGGCCCAGGAGTGTGTTAGTGCTGAAGAGAAAAGCCATGTGCAGCCAGGGACGGGAGGCAGGTGGCCCGTCACTGGGGAGCCTAATGTCTGCAGATGTGTCCCTTGCAAATACGCTAACTGCACGGCTGTGCCTTCTGGACATCCCCAGCCACCTCACCTGAGGTGTACAGGGGAGGCTGGATGGTAAGTGACTTGCCAAGGGACGTGACTAGCTGGGAACTCCAGGCCCTTGACTGAGGAACAGACCAACCCCAAAGTGCAGACCTTCCCCGGTCATGCAGCTGGCACTGTGAGACCCTCTGCTAGCCCAGGAGGTCCACAGGGCCACCCTGGAGTCCCAGCCTGCCTGTCCAGAACTGGCCCTGCCTCCAGACTGCCTGTGTTCTGCTCCCTGGCCTGGCCCATGCTGGCTACTCCCGCACTCACCTGCCCTGACCCAGCCAGACAGCTCAGGGGTCTCAGGTACACACCTGAGGGGTGAAACGTGGTTCCCCTCAGAACGCAGGCACAGAAGCGTGTTCCCAGCTCCACAGGCTTGCAGCTCTGTGCCTGCCGAGACTGGAAGCTCACACAGTGGTGGTGGTTTTTTGCTGGGCACACAGGACTTTGGATGAAAACTTGCTAGGAGGAGACACAGGAGAGAAGGCAGGCCCAGCATAGGAACAGCTGCCGGTCTCCACAAAAATATTTTATAACAACATCAATTTTCATCTTATTTTATCACATATGACAC